GTTTAGGGTTAGCATTTATTTGAAAAGATCCAAGCATTACTGTTATGAAGACTTACGGTTACGCTAGCAGTTAGCCACTAAACCTTACCTGATGGTTGGATTTCTAATTAACGCAACCTTTAAAACAAACTCAGTAATCAACTTACTCATCCAGCCTTAACCCTAAACGTAATCTTCAGGTAAACTATTTAAGCAAGTAGTTCCTCTAAACCTATTTCCTATTCCGTATGACCACGATAGATCTCCTAAGCCTAAACCCGTCCTATATTTATTTACTTCAAAGCCAGACGTAAAAAGTAACCTGAATCCTAACCCAGTTTAGGGTTTCTTCACGCTTAACTCAGGGAGCCCTAAACATAAACTTTATGTCAGCCATTTTAAGTCGGTAGTTGCCTTAATTAAGCCATTACTATAGATAGACTGTATTCATTACAGCGTTTCTACGGTCTAACGGTCTTAACTCCGTGCTGTACTAGTTGAAGTCAAACGTAAACCAAATCCTAGATTCTACTCGGTTATTTAAGCCAGTAGTTCCCCTAAGCTTGTACTGTATATCGGGTTCATTACAACAGTTCCCCTACGACCAAGTGTCTTAACTGCGTACTGTACTATGTTAAACCATACGCAACCCAAATCCTAATTTTTACTTGATTATTTAAGCCAATAGTTCTTCTATTTATCGGATTTCCCACAACAGTTAACCTAAGTCTAACACATAGTCTAAACGGTTTTTAACTCCGTGTTGTACTAGGCTAAGCCATACGTATACCAAATCCTACATTTTACCCGATTATTTAATCCAATAGTTCCAACTATTTATCGGGTTTACAACAACAGACGTCCTACGTCTAACGCACTATTTAACGGTCTTAACTCCGTGCTGTACTATGTTAAGCCATACGTAACCCAAATCCTACTCTAACCAAACTTTGCAAGCAGACGCCAGTGAATTCGACACGCTCCCTATCTCGTGTTCCCCAACCACCACAGCCCCAGCCATGTTCACACAGCTTGTAACCAGATTTGGAGCTGTGCCAGGTGCTCGTACCACTGAGTGGCCCTGGGGGAGGGGGAGGGACGGGACACATCAGCCTCGGCCAGGCCAGCCTCTTACACGTTGGAAGAGGGTCACGCCAGTCTCCTTCATAGAAGAGGAGGGTCATACCAGTCTCTTTCATAGAAGAGGAGGGTCATACCAGTCTCTTTCATAGGAGAGGAGGGTCATACCAGCCTCTTTCATAGGAGAAGAGGGTCACGCCAGTCTCTTTCATAGGAGAGGAGGGTCACGCCAGTCTCTTTCATAGGAGAGGAGGGTCACGCCAGTCTCTTTCATAGAAGAGGAGGGTCACGCCAGTCTCTTTCATGGAAGAGGATCACACAAGCTTCTTTCGTAGGAGGAGGGTCGCAACATCCTCTTTTACAGAAGAAAGTAGGGGGTCAGATAATCCTCTTTCACAGGAGAAAGGAGGGTCAGACCATTCTCTTTAACGGGAAAGAGAAGAGTCACGTAAGCCTCTTTCACGAGTCATTAAAAATTGCATACGTCGGTCTTTTTGTTAGACATGCTGAGCAATGATTATAAACTAATATAGATTCTATTTAAAGTTATTATGCGAAAGGTTGAGGAAACTACAAAATTATCAATGGGGTTAGGACTATATGAATGTGATAAAATATGCAGGATAATACAGCATCGTATCGTATTGAAACAGTGCCGTATTCAATAAGGCCTTAAGCTATTTGCGGCATAACACCCTTATATATTAGTGTCAAAATCGATTTTCGAATACCTAGAGGGTTAAAATGAAATATAATTAATTAAGAAGTAGGGTAGGACCTCTACAGCCAAGATAGTAAAATGAAACATATCTATCTTTAAAATCGTTTTTATTCACAACAAACTGTAAAATGCAAAACTCTTTTAAACGACAGAATTTACAAAGGCTTACATATTTATCTTAAATTCGTTTTTATTCATAACAAACTTTAAAAATGCCAACTCTTTTAAACGACAGAATTTACAAATGCCTGTTATCGTATTCTTGAAACGTTTTAAAGATTAAGGATTACAGTAAAATGTTCTTTCTTGCATTTCACTTTTCCAGAGCAAAGTCACTGATGACATCATCAAAAGATGTGTAGTTCATAACTTTTTATACACACGAGCGTGAGGGAACATAAATTATCTTGGAGTCATTGTTTAAATTCATTTTTTCATCCGTTGTCGCTTTGGGAGACGGTGTGGTCGAACGGTAGAGCACATGCTTTGTGAACAGAAAGTATAGAGTTCGTAGCATGTCACTTTCTGGAACTTACAGCAAGGAATGCAGTGTGCTGGCCACACAACTCTTTCAAAACCCGAGGTTAAAGAAAAATTTGAACTTCGGGCAGTTTAAAGTTTATACCATTATATTGTAAATCGTTCTTTATTATGTTGCTATTTTCAATTAAGTTTTTTTTTAAAAATTACAATGTTTCAACAGGATGCAACGCTACATTTTACAACACAATTCACATCTGTTTTTGTTCAGCTCTGCCTTGATAACCTGAAGCTCCTTAAGTGCCATCAGTCCGTGCCGCTCTCATCCATAAGAGCATTTTTTCTTGCCTCGAAGTTGATCTGCCTCCCCCCCCCCCTCTCCCTTACCCCGCCCACCACCTTTTCCCGACTGCCGATCACGTGACTCGCAAGACTATCGAGTCCTTGTTTTAAGTTCTCGTGACTGTTTTCTTATCAGCCTGGTTCGTCCACTCGAATCATCGCCCTCAGTTGTAGACACGCCGTGTCAGTCAGACATCGACTTACTTAAAAGTAAAGTTTCCCTTTCAAACCTGACGGTCTATGGGGCAAGTGAAGTAGAGTTCACTTGTTTCTGTGACCTCGGCATATGAAGAGATAGTTTGGTCAGCACTATGCCCAGCCGCCTTTACTTTCCCTAACGTGAGTTAGGTACCCATCAGAGTTGGGTGGACTCAGGGACGGTCTACTGGCTTGAACCCGGATTCGAAATCGAGACTTACGGGTTAGCAGTCCAGTTCTCTACCGCTAGACCACTCCGTCCCTATTTAAAAGTGCTCAGGATATATTCGATGCTAATTAATAATTATACGTGCTAGTACCGTTAACTTACCATAACTGTAGTCATAACCTTAACCCGAATCCCGACCCTAACCTTACTCGTAACTTTACCTATGGCCCTAACCATATCTTGTCAAAACCTCGAATACTGAAACCAAAAGCAATACCGGCAGGAGAAATAAATCGATATGATACTATATCGTCTTGCTAGATATCCCTTTGGAGACATGTTTATATTTAGAGATCTGGTAAATCTGGCTTATCATTGATCACCATTATGCAGGCTCGTATGTTTCATCTTTGTCGCGATCGTCTCCAGGAAATAGTACTTCGATTAATCATGCCTTTTAGATTTTATAATGCTCTTTCCTGATAGCCAGCAACGACTATCATACGGTTAGTAAGACTAATTAGTGGGTTTTTTTTTTTAATCTTTGACTAGTATCGCCAGTCTAACCTGACCTTAACTCTTCAGTACAGAGTTTCTTCCAGGCATCTCTTCGCCCCCCGAACGAAATGAAATTTATATAATTTATATAGAAAATATATACTTTTAACAGTGTCCCCCCCCCCCCCCCCCCCCCGAAGAAGGCTACCCCCCCCCCCCCCGAAAATTTCAAGTGCCTCCCTCCCCCCAGAGAAAAAGTCTGGAAGAAACACTGAGTACAAAGTCCTCGCCAATTCTTCTGAAAGAAACGAATCCTTGATACGATACTTAATTTTTGTTGCACTTGCTTAAGTACACAACCGCGATAGCTTTTCATGAAAAAGCAATTGAATTTGATTAACACGGGATGAACAAAAAAAAGGCACCATAATGAAGGTTTCGTTGATTTGAGAAGGCTAAAAATTAATGTATACGGAGATACAAAATAAAGTTTGTGGATTATTGAAAAACTAGCTAGTTATGTAGAATAGACATAGTTAGCTTGGTAGCTTTGTTCTGACTAAAATTTAAGCACTAAAATTATATCAGAGTCACGCGGTGTAACCCTCTTTTAAAGGAGGTAATTCTGGTTAAAGCAACTACCTTTTAAAAATACCGCACTAGGCCTAGCAGTTTCCGATAGACTTCGTGCGGACCCGCCAGGAATACGAGCAGCTAAACTCTGCCTCGAGGCAACACGTTGCGCATGTGCTGCGAGCGATCAAAACGAGACGCGAGGACGATAGCTAATGCGTGTTGACGCTACAAGGTCACTGTCATCTCGCGTCCTAAATAGCGCAGCTAAGTATCGGGCTGAGGACCGCCATGACGGCTGCGTGTTGACTGCGCAGGCTGGAGTTGGGCACTCGAGATAGACAGGGGTCGGCTGACTCGGGACTGAAAAATTAACAGGGCCGCGGAGTCGTAGTGTTGTCTGCTAGCCTGCCTGACGAATCCAAGCCTGCTAGGGGTTAGGATACGTTATCGTGCCGTGTCTAGCCGGGAGAGGCTCGAATAGAAAAATAAAGGGACTGAATAAAAGGGGAGAGAAATCAGATTTTTTTTTTCGTTTGCTGGCAAGGCTAGTTTTAGTTAGAACGTCTAAGCCGGATTTTTTTACTATTCATTTTCTCTAATGCTAAATCTTTCTGCTTCTGAAAGGAATCGTGATAAAATTACCGGCCAGATACCCTAGGAGAACGTTGGTTTTATTCCCCCGCTAGTCAGGAATTTTTGGTCTGAGGCTGATGTGAGATTCAGCGAGTGGGAGCGGGCTGCTGGTTAGGACCGGATACTAATCGACGGCTAGCGCTGGCGCTCTTTCGTTCTTTGTCGCTCCGTGCATAGCAGAGACTTGGCTCGATCTGGTTCAGGAAAGTGGATCGGCCCAACGAGGAAGGGGAAGGGGATGGGCTCGTGACTAGGGGAGGGGGGTGGGCGGTGGAGAAAATCGTCAACAATAAACTCGCTCGCCAAACGAAGCCTGCTTTGCTGGGTTCCCCTTGAAGGTTTGGCCGATGGGTTGTGTTGGGCTAGGCGAACGTTCTGAATCGCGCGTTAGTAATGGAGTGGTTTTTGTTTCCCCGCACTGGAAAGGCTTAGCCCAGTACGAGGCTGTGCAGACGTTTAGAGATAACGAACACACCGCGTGTTGAGAGAATGCTCTGGCTGATTTGAATTCATTCAGCATACACTTCTTTGCGGCGTGTTTGCCGTCAGTAACAGACTAGGCCCAGAAGGAAAAACAACGATAGCACAGACAAGATAAAGCTACGAAGGCACTGTTGAGAAGGCTAATTATAATTTCTGACGTAGGGTCTGACGGCTGTTTTATACAGATCTATGATCGGTAAATATCATCATTATTGTTTTCTTTCTCTGCGACGTTTTCCAGAAATTTTAGCTCATTTACTTGTTCTATTGTTATTCTTTGGTCGTTGTTCCCTGGTGGACTTCTTCCCATAGGAGAGCGATGACGTCACACCAACATGGCCGCCATTTCTTACTTTTTAATATTTTAGAATCATATTTTAGTCCTATTCTTTTCAGTGAAACCATAAAATGTTAGTTCGTATAGGCTAGTCCCTATTTTATTTGTATTTTCAAATAAATCAAATTAAATAGGTCTCTTCTAGATTGATGTAGACAGTATTTTCAACAAATCTTTTAACAACAAAACAAAAACAAATGTGTTGACTAGTTTGGCCTTGGCCTTTGGGTGACGTCACTTACAAACAGCTGTAGGCCCAAGCTGGCTGCCCAAGTTGAATACGTTGCCTTGGTTACTTGCGTGTTTTTAAGTTTCTGAATACTCTTCTAAGTTATCTAAATTAGGCCTAGCACTTAAAAAAATACTCAGTAGATACTAGAGCTAGGCCTATTTAATTTATCATAGGCCATTACACAGATTTGAGTATTGTAAAATACTAAAACTAAAAATATATAAATGATGTGGCCATAGGGCATAGACATAGTATAGTTACATTAGTTAGTATTAGTTCGTTGGTAGTTAGATCTGGTAACTATACTACTAATAATACTATAACTATAGTAGTACTGTAACTATATAGATAGAAAATGGAATAGTAGTAATAGTAGGCCTATAGAATCCTAATACTATAGTTATAGATATAAATTAGATATGCCCTAACCAGTCAACTCAGGGGCGTAGCGAGGGGGGGGGCGGGGGGGTGCGGACCGCACCGGGTGACACCATTTAGGGGGGGTGACACCAAGGCAAAAAATAGCAAAATATATAGAGAAAAATTTAAGGGGGGGGGGGTGCAAATCGAGAGTTTGAGGTGGGGGTGCAAATCGAAAACTTGAGGGGGGGGGGGTGCAAATTGAAAATTTGAAAGTTTGTCCCTGGGAAGGGTCTCTATGCCTCTGGGGAGGGTGACACCATTAAGTGCCGCACCGGGTGACACCCGACCTCGCTACGCCACTGAGTCAACTAGCATATTTTGTATTTTGATTAGGCCTAGATTTTTATCTAGATTCCTAGAACTATATTGTTATACTAACGACCTAAATTGAAATTAAGCACAAAATTAATTGAGCCATAATATTAATAATAATTAATAGGCCTATAATGATGGTACTTCCTCATTTGAAACTAGACCTCTTGACATGTGTGTGCAATATGATGATTTTCAATGGTGTAAATTCTGTATGGCATGATTATAGTAGACTCATAACATTTTTTTTATGTCTGCAAATTGATATATCATTCAGGCAAATATTGCACCATAAAAATAGATTTCAGCTTATTAATTTTGACACTGTTTATTAATTTTTGATGAATGGTTTAAGAAATGTGACAAAGTCTAATTTAATTTTACTATGGTCTCAGAACTCTCAGATCTATAGTTAAGTTAGACAACTATAGATCTAATCCTACAATAGAGTTTGTCAATTTATAAACTTGCTAACATATCTTGTGTTGGCTAGGTGACTAAACAAAGAACAATTTTTATTATAGAATGAATTAAATAGGCCTATAAGTAGGTCTATCTTAAATTTTATTAGAAACAATACTAGATATATCCCATATAGGCCTACAATTTATTTTTATTTCTGTCAGTAAATCGAGCCTATTATTTTCAACAATTAGAAATCTGATACTGATGGATCTTATAGCTGAAGATTTGTGGTTTTAGTTGAAATGCTTGATGTTGCCTAGCTGTCCCTGTCATTATATAGTAGGCCATATCAAGCTTATAACTTAAGTGTCAGTCGGCAGCTAATGGGAATGTGACATGTTAAATAACAAAAGCATTGTTTGGCCTACCCAGTTCTAATGGCTTAAGCTTGAAACTAAGACAGCTGGCTAAAGAATTGTTCAGCTATCCATTTACATATGCATTGGATACAAAAAAAAAGAAACAGTTATTTCATCTACTTTTATATTATTTTATTAATGAGCAACTCATTTGGGTACCGGTGCCTATTTAAAGATGTTAGCAGTTAATTTCTGTGCCCTGCATAATTTAAAGATATTGTATGTTATGTTTATATGTATGTTATGTTTATACAAGTGGCCATACTTAAAGAGTGTAATCCCGAAATTGTAGGAAAGTATTACATTGTAGTGCTTTAGTTCTCTAGACTAGTGCTGACATGTATGTATCATGATCTGCTTTAGTTCTCTAGACTAGTGCTGACATGTATGTATCATGATCTGTTGAGCCTCTTTTGTTTAAATTATACATTACAGTAGTATCTGGTCTTGAGATAAATGCCACAATAATGTTTATCAGAAATTCCCTTTTTTAATCTGAATTATTTTTCTGTCCAGTTACAATCAGTTATTCTGTATGTTGTAGTTGACTTCTTGTTTGATTTAAAGTCTTATACAGGTGTTTCTCTTGATAGGGACTGCTTGACCTTCATTTCTACCTAAACTCTCTGGTCTCTTGTCTTGCCTGGTTCACTGTGATGATCCTCTTTAGATATCTACATCTCTTCTGTTAGTTCTCACATGAATTGAATTAGGCCTATCTATTGTAGAGATACAACTTTTTTAATCACTAGACATATCCTTTGAAGCCCCTGAGGAGCAAAGGGCTGCAACTACAACTCGTCCTCTCTATTGGATAGCTCTCTTCAGTTGAGCCCATGTAAACCTAGCAGCCTTTGCTTCTCCTTCAACAGTCCTTCTCCAGGATTGCTTAGGTCTGCCTACTTTTCTTTTCCCCTGAGGTTTCCAGGCCAACTCAAGCAACTTTTTAATCAGTCATATTGAATGTTGTTGATGATTCCATTTTTCTATAGCATAGGAATCTAGACCTTTTGTTACTTTACAGTTTGAAAAGTTGCTGAAAGGTTTGTCTACAAGTACATCCCTATTTACTATTCAAATTTAGGTTTACAAATATCTGTTAAGTGCAGTACACAAAAACTTCTTTGAAAATATATTTTTTTGTTAACTTGGTATTTGGTTTACCGATGCTGTTGAACATTCAAATTCAGACATACCATCTTTGAAACTCTCTAAAGCAAAATCTTTAGGAAAAATCTCTGTATAAATGAAACCCCCAACCAAAGGGATGTCAATTAATGTATATGAAGAATGTATCATTGATATGATACTGTTTGAGTCTACCTGTTTATGTAAACTAGTTATTGTTGTAGTAAAACTGTCTGACAACCATTGTACATGTATCTGTCTTTTTCCCTTCCTTGTACTATGTAAAGTAAATCATATAAAGATTTCATACATTTTTGGGATCTTTTCCAGATAAGCCCCGCCACTAATGCAAAAAGTTAAGCCCCGCAACTTTTTGCCAGCTACAATATAATGTAGGCACGCAACCTTGGCCTATTTCTGATGTCTAGACATTTGAATATTTAAACACAAGCCAAACAAAACAACTTGGCTCATTTTGTGCAAAAAATTTTCTACGTACCCACATAAAACCTGAAATGAATTTTCTGACGCTTTCCGCGCTTGTTAACGACAAGGAGACAGCAATACGTTTTTTGCAAAGCCACGGAGTGATCCATGAGGAACGTACCTGCAACAATGGCCACCAGATGACACTTTCAATTGTTTCTGACCGGTGGAGGTGTAATGCCCGACAGTGTCGACAAGAAATAGGCCTTCGAAAAGGAACTTGGTTGGAGCGGTCTAGGATGGAGTTCAGGACAGTAATTCTATTCATTTACTGCTGGTCCAAAAATCTGGCAACAATCAAATTCTGCTCAGAAGAATTATCTATTGGCCATACGACTGCTGTAGAATGGAAGAACTTTCTTCGAGAAATTTGCGCATGGCGGCTTTTACAGACTCCAGCAAATGTCGGTGGCCCAGGTCTACACGTCGAGATTGATGAAACTCTAATATCTCGCCGTAAAAACCATAAAGGACGAGTCCTTCCCCAGCAGTGTATTTTTGGAGGGATCTGCCGGGAGACTAAAGAAGTGTTCTTGTATGCAGTGCCAGATCGAACTGCGACCTCTCTGCTGGACACAATCAAGGCCTGCATTGCTCCTGGCTCTATCATCATTTCTGATTTGTGGGCATCATACCAAGGAATTGAAACAATGATTGGCATGAATTACACTCATAAAACGGTAGATGATACTGAAAACTTTGTGGAGCCAACAACTGAAGCTCACGCACAAAGCACAGAATCTTTCTGGCATGACTACAAGATGCAGAATAAGCGCCAATGCGGCACACACCGATCTTTAGTGGACAGCTACTTATGTGAATTCGTGTGGAGGCAAAGGTACCAAAGTACAGACCTTTTCATGCAAATTATTATCGACATATCCCAATTTCACCCTCTTCAGTAAAAACTAAAAGTACAAGTTTCACCAATCCTTAGTGTTCAGCTACTTGTGTGAGTTCATTTGGAGGCAAAGGTACCGAAATACAGACCCTTTCATGGAAATTATTATTGACGTGTCACAGTTTCACCTTCTTTAATAAAAATCGAAAAGTACAAGTTTCTTTTCTTCTTTTTTATAATCTTTTTTTGGGTGGAAGGGGTTAACTTTTTGGCTGGGCTTATCTGGAAAAGGTCCCATTTTTGCATATGAATTTAATTCAACACTAATGTCTTAAAATTGTTTAGTTACGATTAATTAATTAGACATTCTTTACTCATTTCTGACTGCAACTCTCGTGTTCTTGTTATCTATTTAGTCTGATGTTTACTCTTTAATCCTTGTATTTGTTTCTGTAGGATTGTTGACTATTTTTAGCTCACAAGAAATCATGTGTTGTATAATAAAATGTATGACTGTTAATATTTGTGGGATGGCATGGCCTAGCTATGCTGCTAACCCAAAAGTGTCAAGTTCTAATCTGGGTTCAAATCAGTGGAACGTCCCTTGAGTCCA